GAATATTCTACAACATTAATTGTGACAACAGTTCAAAAGTGGGTTAGAAACAATCGATTACATAATGAATAACATTGAAGGAATGTAGTGAGCAGAGTTCAGTTGAAAGATTATTAATTTGAAAGATGGTTGAAAAAAAATAAAATAGAGTCAATGATGTAATAAATGCAAAAGAGAAAAAAATAAAATGAGATTTTATGGTGTAGTGAAGGAATATTTGTCACCAGGGCAAGGAAAGATTAACCACCGTCTCCTTTTGAATACATAGGTCAGGTTTTTGATGCCTGATGGCAATGGCTTCAGCAAACTTCAGAAGACTGGAGTTTGGCTGCTTACTAATCACCATAAAGGATTGTAAGGTATCTAACTGATGTCCTGTATCAAGGAGATGTTTGGTGACTGCACTGTTCAGAGTCTTCCTTTCTCTTGTTCTAAGACTTTTTGGAACATGTTCAAAAAATCTAAGATATGCTCTCCTTTCAGTTCGGCCGATGTAGCTGCTTTGGCAGGTACACGTAAATTTATAAATACAGTTGGCGGTAACCTGAAAGGGTTGCTTGTCGATCTTTGATTGAGTTATTGAACATGTTGTTTTATAGAGAATTAAAAGTTTAGCAGCCGGATAAGTTCTGGTTATCGCTGTATTCAGTCTCTTGTTGATAATTTGTGCGACGTCATCACCTTTAAAGTTAAGATTTATATATACTGGTTTTTTATTGACCATATTTATTTCCGTCTTCTTTTCTTTGGGCCTTTTATATTTGTCAATAAACTTTTGTGGATAAAAGTTTTCTTTTAGACATTCTTCTACGTTCATTAATTCTTCTTCCAGTTTGTCGGTGGTACATATCTTTTCTGCCCTGTAAAATAGTGTTTTAACTAACGCCTTCTTGTAACTAATTGGACAAAAACTATTGAAATTTAGGTGGAGGCCATTCCAATTACTCTTTCTATAAATTGAGCGTTGAACTGTCCCGTCTCTCCTGCGTTTTATGGCAACATCAAGAAAGTGGAACATGTCGTTCTGTTCGTGCTCCATAGTAAAATGTATGTTAGTATGAGCGTTATTGAAGAGTTTGAGCAGGCGGATTGCATGTTGTTTATTATTACAGATAATAAATGTATCGTCCACATATCTGGAGTATTCGGTTGTTTCATTAATTGCCTGTTTAAGTATCGTGTTTTCAAGATACCCCATAAAAATATCTGCCATAGTTGGACCGAGTGGACTACCCATTGCTACGCCATCGACTTGGCGATATATGGTGTTGTTAAATTAGAACTGAACATCCGTTGTACATATTAGTAGTAGTTTTTTGAATTCTGAGGCTCTTAAATGTAGGAGATCATCATTCTTACAAATTATATCAATAGTTTCAAAGAGTGGTATATTGGTGAACAAGGATGTCACATCAAAAGAGACCATGAACTTGTCGTTAACATTAGTATGATTTAGTCTATCAGCAAACTGGAGTGAATCTCTTAACGTATATGTTGCTAATCTACGACGAACAGGTTCTAGTTTTTCTGCTAACCAGCGTGCGACTTTATGATATGGTGAGTTAATCATTGATAGGATAGGTCTAAGAGGAACGTCATGTTTGTGAACTCTTGGTAAACCATACAGTTCGTCTTGGCAACTGTCAGTAGATAACGCCCCAACGGTACATTAATCAGAAGACGAATACAAAGTGTTGGTTACGTTTATTATGGGACCACACACGAATATCCCAAATTACAGGTGCGTTAAGCAAGCATGAAAGAGCTGTGCTGAAAAGCAAGCAGGCAAGCGAGCGAGTCAGCGAATATGAGTACGAGTAAGCGAGTACAAATAAGCGAGAGAGCAATGAACATGAATAGCATGGAAATAAATATATATAGTGAAATGAATGAATCATTGAATCAATGAGGCGGTTAATAGTAAGGCTAGCAGTGTGGACAAATGCGTAGGCAGTAAGCAATCCTCAAGCATACATGTTCATACATTCGCAACAATAATAAAGATACAATGATACAGACAAGTTGATGTCGTAAGGATGACTCAGTTCGTTAATTAGTTGACAAAATGACTTCATCAAATTACTTACTTACTTACTCCTGTTACTCTCAACGGAGCATAGGCCGCCGACCAGCATTCTCCAACCCACTCTGTCCTGGGCCTTCTTTTCTAGTTCCATCCAATTCTTGTTCAGTCCTCTCATGTCTATTTCCATTTCTCGGCGTACTGTGTTCTTCGGCCTTCCTCTTCTCCTTTGCCTTTGAGGATTCCAAGTGAGGGCTTGTCTTGTGACGCAGTTGGGTGCTTTCCTCAATGTGTGTCCTATCCACTTCCAGCGCTTCTTCCTGATTTCTTCATCCGCTGGGATCTGGTTTGTTCTCTCCCACAGTACGTTGTTGCTAATTAAATGTGAATAAAATGTGAGTAAATTCAATTGCACTTGAGTTGCTAAAAGTTCCATGGACCCTTTGGTGTAGTCCAATAAACGTGAGGCTCAGTGAATTTTAAGTACAAATTTCGACAGATATCCCAAGTAGTTTCAATTAGGCATTCTGGATTTATTATCCAATCTACTGTGAGTGCTGCGTGTGCAACATGATGTATATTTGCTTTGCAGACGATTGTGCTCAGACCGACGGACGCGTTCACGTTCTCGACAACCCTATGGAAGTCAACGATTGAAACTGCATCATCACATCTATCAAAGAATAGAATGCAACTGAAGTTCGAGGTGCCATCACCATGATGGCTCAATATGAGATCTAGTAGGGATGATTCGCTGTCCGATTCGTACCTAGTTGCTTCTTTCACATGTTACACTAAGGCACATGTGATAACTGCATTAATTAGTTTCTTTTCGAAGGAAGTTTTCAGCAACTCAGTCTTCAGATTTTTCCAGCTTACCGTGGGTGCATTCAAGACTCCTAAGACTGGACATCCAACAATTGATGAATAGGTGTTGAAACCGTCCAGGATGACCTTACCCATCCAACAGTTTGGACTGTGTTAGACAAAATTAATCATTAGATATTGTCCTTTGCATTTCAGGTGACAACCAACAACTTTACACGTCTCACTTTCATGAGATGTGTTACCAATAGAGGTGAATGGGATTGGATTTCAATTAATAGAGCTACTCCTCCTCCTTAAGGAGGAGGTTCTGTCGACTCTTACTAATGTGGAACTTTCAACACCAAGCTTCCTAATTTCTATAGACAGCATCAACCAAGTTTCTGTGACAGAGATTACATCCGGCTTAGTGGAGTCTATCTGCATACCTGGCTCCAACCGCTTGTTGAACAAGCTCCGGGTATTTGTGTAACGGATCCGAAGAATATTTGAATAATTTTGTGTTGCACCCACAGTGGCTTCGGCATCATTCTCCGTCGAAGTCTTACCACCCAAAGATTTACAATCTTAAGGTCCTTGTCCCCAGCATCCAACCTTAGTTTTAGTTTTCTTTCAGCTCCTTTTCACTTTATACAGTCTGCGGGCGGCAAGACCTTACGGACAAAAAACTCCTGACTTGTACATTTTAAGCCCATTCTGCAGTGTTAAGTTCTTTTCGTTGGGAGATTACAATACTACGTTTAGCAGCCTGGTTTGATTCTGCTTCAAGTCTATTTGGCTACCTAGTTTATAAACCCTTAGCAACGTGACTCCAGAGATATGCTGAAGCATTAGTTAATTCAGTAGCTTTTTAATCAACTCAGTGTCATGCTCAAAACGAGTTCTGAGTTCCAAGCTTTCATGCTTCTTGACCCTATGAAAGACAACTGACCTGCCACTGCGGTCGGTCGTCGATTTCTCAGCAACGTATTTTTGTGGGGAGGTTGGCTTTTCTTTAATGATATCATATCGTTTCTTATTCTTGACTTGCACCCATTCATCAACTTTAGTTGGAGTAGCAACCATAGTCGCGTCAAACACACTGTGGGATTCCGGATACCTTTCGAGGACTTGGATGGTCAGGTTGATTTTCCTGCTAGAAACAGATCTAGCATTGTGATTATGTTTTTAGGGGCTTTCTGCTGGCGGGCGACAGGATGAACTTCCTTTCTTGAGCTTTTATTTCGGACAGAACTCTATAGAGTTGGTTTTCCTCCATTGATTCATGTAGGTCAATCAATACTGAGCTCATTTGAGGTGATTTCACATCAATTTGTGCATCTATTGAGCGAGTATTGTCTGGTGTGTGTGTGTGTGTGTGTGCTAACACACCTTTTAGCAGCATTTACCACTTAAATGGCTACGGATAGCAAGCTGTTTGTGTTTAAGCAGCACTGCTGATGAAACCACACGCAACCATTTTTACCAAACCATTTGAAAGCCAAAGGCGTTAGATTCGTGCAGACGTCGTTGTACCATCTTTCCAACTCGTCGTCTGGACGTTGCCAATTACTTGTTTTGCACTGCTCAGCCATCAAACAGAGGTCTTCAAAAAAACTAGATACAAGAATGCCCAGAGGCAATATAAACTGATGGCCAGAAAAAATGGTGGAAAACTGTAAACTGTTAGTACCAAAAGAGATAATAAATGCAATAGAAACCATGTAAACATGAGTTTCGACAATAAACTACTTCGGAAACATAAACGGTACTCTTAGCAAATGCTTTAACTGAAATAAACTCAATTTAAGTGAAAACAGTTATCTTGACATGTATTAAGTGGTGAAAAATATAAAATTAACGGAACCATAAAAGAATACTGTTGGTAATTTTAAATGGTGCGCGTAAATTTCGTTAACCTGTGTAGTGAAATCTTAGGTTTAAATGTATCATCGAATCATTGCTCGATTGAAGATTTTTCCGGTCGATTATCTTTCTGTTCATGCAATTGATAACTCGACACGTTCCCGGGGTATACAACAGTAGAGTTACGTGAATCCACGCGTATGGATGATGAGCAAGTTGTAAACGACGTTGAATATGAGAGTGAAACAGATAGTGTATCAGTCGGTGAGTGTATTGACTCGAATGAATTTTTCATGAGTCATATCGAATGGGTACAAAATCAAAGGAAAAAACATTTGAATTGCCTGAAACTGTCAATGTTATTGAATGTGAGAATCAGTGCAAGGTGTATCTAATCGGAACTGCACATTTCAGTGAGGAAAGTATTGCTGACGTCAAAAAGGTATTAATTTCTTCGATCATTATTTGTTAGGTTATGGAACATGTACATCCTGATATCGTTATGCTGGAACTCTGTGCTAATCGAAGTCATACTTTGACAATGGACGAAGAAAATATCAAAAGCAACTTAAGGACATTAATATTACGTCCATCATTCGAAAGGTAGGTAATGGTCAATGCCGAAACCAAAAACGTTTGGACATTTTGTAAGTCTTTATGTTACATATAGCTTAATCCGCCACCCGATACTATATATTCAGGCTTGATCTATTTTTCAGATTTCATTGCTTTCAGTCAAGCTGTTATATACATTGCTAACCACTGTATAGCTCGGTCAACCAATAATTTTTGGATTAATCCATTCTTATGGTAAATATTTGGTCGTAACTCATAGGCAGACACGGACATTAAGAATAAAGGATATTCATAGGTTACTAATAATCAATCATAGGTTCCTTCAAGGCATCGTCCCGTATTTCGAAGCCGCCGACGAGCAATACCTGGGCTAGGGATAGGGTACTGAGTAGAGATGAAAGGTCGATTGGTAAGGTATTAAATCCTTATCGATTAGGATAACTAAACATGTGTTACGAATGCCCAACCATGGCACACCTCGGCAGGTGGTGTTCTCTGGTGAAGAATTAGGTCGAGGAAAGGCTGGTGGCAGCCAAACTGAAATATGACATCAGTTCTTAAAGTCATTAACATTTGGGCTGTGCCATGTTAATAGGTGTAGACTACCCGTTTGTGTTCCTTGCGATTATCTTAACCAATGGTTGAAGACTTTAAATGGAACAGATCAAAATCGCCTACAATGACGCAGGAGCGTCCACTTTTTCTTTGCCTTATGATCCTAATTCTCGAAATCCCTCATAATCTTTATATTTCATTAACCTACATTTTATTGAATAATATCCATGCCTAATCTTTCCTATTACGACTTATACTGCTACTACTGTGGAATTCGCCTCAACAATTTCATCTCGCCGTGCTAATGGGGTATGGCAACTTGGACCGATGTACATACGTACCAGGTTCTACTCTGTGGCTTACTGAGACAGGCATATCAACATAGAATTTGTCACAGATGTGCCTAGACCCACGTTTCTTTATCACAAGTAACGTATTAGAAACGATAACAAGAAGAATTAAACATCGCGAATATGATTCGGAAAGTCAACGGGAATAGGTGTACATGAAAGGATACCGGTATTCCCAATCAGTGATCAGGACCAGTTAGTTTGAATTTACCAACCTGTATCAAACCCACAGTAAATGTCTCTCTTTGGCTAAATAATCATTGAGAAAGAATTTAATCGCTGAGATCAGTGCTCTCGGTTGTATCTACCACAACTTCTATGCAACTCAGTAGTCATAGTGTCCACTACATCGTATGTTATCTGTCTAAAACCACACGTCACAGAAAGCAAACATGGAAATTCGAATGTGAAACCCAGTTGTTAACAGTTGAGTAGTTAAATCGTCAGACTTCTGCCCCTTCAGATAAGCATTGTTCTTATTGATTTCGCGTTACTAGCAAATAAAGAATGAAGAGGTTAACCTTGTGTATACCAAATCTTCGTACCCATAAAATTTTGCTGCCTAAAATGAAACCTAGCAACTAACAAAGTAACTTAACAAAACGGATCAAATATTGACCACGAGCCTATAAATGCCTTCAAGATGCTTTACAATAAACTGTACACCTTTTCAAGTTGATAAAAATATCAGAATTAATTCATCGCGACTATAAGACGAAATGTAGGTCTAAATTTGAAAAGTAAGCAATTATTCAATACTTACAGTAACAACTTCAAGTGGCTTAATTTGAAATATCACTCTTTATATTCCCAGTTTTGAATATAGTATCAGTCCGTACTTTTTATTCCCCGAACTTATTCGTCATTTCTGTTTGATTTTCAACCTTTTAACTTCATCATATCGTTTGCATTATTTACTTCAGCGTAAAGCAAGAATACATAATCCGATAAATTCTTGTTAGGTCCTCCGTCTACATTTATGATTTTCTCAGCGTTTCCTACACTGTTGTGACGTTTATTATGTATTATTTAAACTTGTTTTATTTTACCCAGCACGGTGTCAGTTCAGGCGTTTTACACTATCTCTTGCTTCGACTAAGTGGTTATTTAGTTGATACTCTTGGAATGGCACCTGGTGGAGAGTTCAGAGCCGCCGCCAAAGAGGTAAGTTAGACGTGTAGGCTTGTGACAAATTATTGTCATACATTAAACTCCCTACCTCTTAGTATTTAACATTGACATGCTTCAGTAAAATGTTTGTTACTGTGAAGTTGTCTGTCTAGTAATAATCAATCATTCTAATGTGTTTATTTATACTGACTTTTTGTCATGATACACGTTTAGTGATATTTATTTACTAGGAAATATTTTTTGTGTTTTATGCGATACTTTTTGTACATTTGTTTGGATGTACCGTATAGGCGATGAAGCAGCCTCACTGTCACGTTGTTCTAGGAGACCGTCCTGTAAACATTACACTTTATAGAGCTTTGGAGGCGTTGGGTCCGTGGACTAAGCTCAAGTTTTTTGTTGCTCTTCTATTCAGTTTCCAACCCATTACGTAAGTAACTGCTTATAAATTTACTGTGCTGTATAATTTTGTCAGTGAGTAACTTCAACACTGAGTTTTGTTTGGATACTGAAGTTAGTTTACATATCATAAGTTACTGTACTTTCTCTCGTTAGGTGTAGTTGCTCTGTAAGCAGTGTTTTCCAAACTTTTGTTTCCTATTCTAGTCACTGAACACAAACGTTTCTATTAAAATGTAACGGTTCCCCAAGTTTCTAGCCATTCTAGCACTCCACTGATAGGGTCAATGACTTGTAGCTCAGTTAGTCAGAACCATCCGGTTCATTTGAGAAGCATTTTGGTTGCTCTTTTTTTGTTAATTTATTTTTTAGTCTGTTGATTTTTATTTGTGTGATACATCTAATTTTATTAGTGTTCCACAGCTTTCCATTACAGTAAAATTTCTGATACTGTAATTTCTTTCCCATTAGGAAAGAACAAATTGAGGAGATGAAAAAAACAGATTTTCTGGAAAAACTGTTAGTTTCTATGGCTGGTGAACACCCAGAACTAACAAGGATATTGTTAGATGAACGAGATCAATATCTAGCTCGTTCCATCTGGGAGGCTACCGGAATGGAAGAATATTTAAAAGCACAAGCACTAAGGCCGAATTCTACTTCTGAGATACACAATCCTTCAAATATTGAAGAGTCTGTTGTGCAACACCGTAAAAATATTGATCAGTCTAGTGACTATTCACTAGATGGAATTGCTCACAGTTCTGAACGAGATAATTTCCTTAATGATCCCTCTCCTCCGCACCTGAGTTGTTGTTCACACTGGCCACCGACCAGTATATTGCCAAGAGTTGTTGTCGCTGTTGTTGGGATAGGTCATGTAGCTGGAATCCGCAAAGTCTGGTCAACAGTTAACACAATTAAAAAACACGAATTATGCGTGTAAGTGAAAATTGTGTACCCAATATTTAACAGAGTAATGAATGTTCATAAATTTCTTACAATGAAATCACATTGCATTTTTAGTTTTCAACTATTGACTTTTCAATTAAATTGTCCAGCAACCTCATGTTTTATTTCTCACTATCGTTTTCTAAAGTATTTCATAAATATGTCTCAACTTTATACATATGGTTGATGAAGCCTAATTGTGCTCCATTTGCTTGTAGCTGCGCTTAGATAGATGTATTTTTATTATCAAAGCCTACCACTTTTACTAATGTAATTTTCAAAACAGGTTATCACAGCCGATCTTCTTGAAACTGGCGACATCAGACAGCTGTTTTTTTAAGTTTAAAGCTTCCAAGATCACATCTAAAACTGATTGTTCCCGCGATAAACACCGCTATTCAAAGACAAAATCAACAGTCTACAGCTTCAATTAGTTTGCAACATAGTTGGGTCACCATTCAATGCAATTGGCGAGCATTTACTCCTCTCCCAACTTGATTTTCTTTGTTTTGCGGCTTGCCACTAAAATAACTCGCATTGCACACCTTTTTTATTGTTGGTTTTTATGCCTGTACATTTCTGAGGAGCCCTTAAAATCTTTCATTAATAACCACAGGAATCAGTTCGACTAATAGTGTATAAGATATCTTCACTAACCATCCTACGCTTACCTGGAGCCTAGGAGAATGAGACTTTTCAGAAGTGAGCATGATTATATCGACCAACTTTTCACCCTTCATTAGTTTACCTACCGAGTAACAATGCAAAAATATTTGGACTGATTTCATCCCCTTCGGGATCTGAATCAAAAACATTACCGCTGGACTGCTGTACGTCATTGTCTAGATTACTCTACATTAACCACCCACTTATCATAGAAGCCTTATTAGCCCTTTTAGTTTGGTATTTGGTGAGATCCCAGTAGAAAACGTATCCTGCCTAGCAATAATTACATGTTACCATAAATCTGTGAACCATGCTCTATGAAAGACTTGTAAGCCGCAGGTTTATGACGATAAGTGTCTTTGAATTATTGCTGTTGCATCGTGGAACGACCGAGTAAGCTATGTTGAAGCCAGACGCAGTATACTAAGCAAAGCTGGAAAATCAGTTGATGAAGAGGTGAATCTACATAGACTGAGGTGGTTGAAAAGTGTTAATATCCCGAACCACCACCATATATATCTTGAACTTCAATTGTGGCTAACCTAAGAGTAAGTTGTACGATAGCCAAGGGCGGGCATACTTAAGCGGATGACCAGTGCGTTGGTCTGTCCTATACCGATAGATGAAGACGACCCGTTTGGGTTTGAGTAATAACTGCAACCAGAGGTTGAAAAAGTGTAGTGACGTAGCTCGGAATCGAACGTAGTAATGTAGATGCATCCACTGTTTATTTCCCTTTAAATCTTTGCTCCATATATATATACGGTACTTCTGAACTGTCAGTTATTCTTTACTTTACATCAACTTACGATTATGAAAGCTTTAAAACATTTTCAAAATTTATCGTCTGTCAGTTCAAGTTGTTTTTAGCGCTATTTATGATGAATTTCGTTTGTTAATGAAAAGTTTTAACATGTATTACGTTCATTTATTCTTTTTTGTAGACTACTTGAACCTCCTCTTTCCTGGCGCATATTTAAGTGGTCGTTGCGAGGAGTTTTGATTTCTTTAGTTGCTGGAGTTGTTTATGGTGTGTGTCGGTGTTCATATATGTTTGGTTCTTTTGTTTATAATCGACTTTTGTAAATAATTGCTTGTCAAGCGTATGCACTAAGCCTGAACTGTGATTTAGTTTTGTTTTACTCTTGTTGCCCTATTAATCCTTTGTATACTCTAAGATCAATATTCTGTTGTATATTTTTCTTTGGACTAGGTTTTTTCGATTCCTTTTAAACACATGTTTTCCATTTTGGCTGATCTGTTAATTATACATGTGTGTTCTAAAATGTACTCTGTTTGTACCACTTTCTTATTGATTCATTATTTAGTTCTCACCTTGTTATTAGAAAGTTAGTCAACGATGGGTGGCTTGTAATAATCATTTGAAGGCAATTAAAAAATCTACCAAACCTAATTAAATATGTTCACTTTGTTCATTCATTTAGTATTTATATGCAGTACGTGTAACTTGGATTTAAAATAAGTTATTCGATAGGGTAAGATTTAGTCAAACGACTCATTTAAAAAAGACTAGCAAAGTTGGATGGGTGAACCTTAACAAACATCTTAATAAAAATCAAACTGATTGGATTGCTAAATGTTTTGTAGATCCTGAATATATGTCGAATGAATAGTACGTTTTCTCTTTCACGTCTGCCTTTCCTTTAGATAATAATTTTGTCAGGAAGTGTTATTTGGCTTCCTTGATTCCGTAATTTTGAAGATTCAGTAGGAGGGTGGTATTAATAATAGTGGTCTTTGTACTAGTAATTCAGTAAACGCTAAAGAGCGAGCTCGTACTGTCAACTTAACCGTCATTTCCTAAACACATTGGTGATACATATGTTAGTCATGATTCCTAAGGCAAAGTCAACATTGTGACGTACATGTCATGCTTTAGAACTAGTTATGTAATTAGCTTCTCGAATATCATTAGAAGCTGAAGTCACTTAGTATAATTTATCCCTTGAATAGAATTACTGGTAGTTTCGACATACTTGTTATCAAGTGGTAATAGAAATTTATGCAACCTTGGAATCGTTATTATTTAATGAACGAATTACATGGGATATATCATCTCATAAATTCTACTTTCAATGCAATACACCTTGCGGACTATCTGTTTGTGTGGCCAGTAAATTTTCCTAACAAACTTTACGGGATTAATAGCAAGATCATGCTGAGATTATGGTTTGAAAATACTTTTGGAATGATCTGACGTTAGATCCGAACTATTTTTCCGAAAGCTAAAATCAAATAACAGCAAAATTCAAGTGGACGTGAAGTGTTCGAATTTATCCATATATGACCCTTAATTTGTCCTGTGGACCTCGACATTGATTGGTTACGGTTAACCTGTTACTGCTTACTTTATTTTGGTTGTATCTCGCAAAGAAGTAAACAATGATAAGTTTAAGGTCGACAAGACCCAATGAACATCGACGTCTACAGGACAGGCTGTGACATATGTGGATAAATTTGTGCTGATGATGTCGTTCAAAAGAACGATGAAAGCTCCACGACCAAATCATCCACTTGAGCTACAAATCATAACATCATAATTTTAGGTTTAAGTGTGTCATCAAATGAACTATACAGAATACGAATCAAAGGAAAATGAATCTAGCCATAATTTAAGCTTGAATATTCATGTCTGACTGGAATCTGATGAGGAATTATGTAGTCAAGGTAGACTTATTTTCACCATCCAATTATTAAAATGTAAACTATCTGGATTTCACCATTCTAAGTAACCCAGTTTGAGAGATCAAAATTAAGTATCCATTTCGAAAGCTATATATATACATCTATATAGATGTAAATGCTGCACATAGACGACTATTTAAGATATGTTCTAAAACACTGCTCTTAAACTTTATTGTGTGAAACATGACTGTTTGCATTTTCATTCGAACTCATTAGGTCGCTGTTCTGTAGCGACTCACTTTTATCACGAGAACACGATTGGTTTATTGAAAACAATTATTATTATAACCAATTGTACCAGTGACTGTTTTAATGTGCTTTTGTTTAACTGTGCTAAAAAACATCCATTATTCTCACACTTTGATTGTGACCTCGCGCGAATTCGGTTACGCTCTGTAACCAAGCTTGTATCCTGGCACGATCTCAGTATTCTTTCGATACCACGAGATCGCCAGCAAATATATCTCGAATTGGTCCATTAACTGCCTTCTGATATTTGACTTCCGGGGGATTTTATGGATATCCAGGCACGCGTTCCTTTGTAGCGGTGTTCATATTCAAATCTCGATTCGACACCACGCTACAGTTCACTGATAAGAAATTATGACTTTCAACCTTGAAATCTTGTTTTTCGTAATATATATTAAAATTTAGTGATCAACTGATTATAATGATTAGGATTATTCGAGTTGTTGTACTGACGAGGAATTTTCGAAATAGTACAATTTACTATAATTGGAACTAGATGAACACAAATGAGCGTATTATGATTGGAATTCGTAATCAGTGGGCAATCAGTTACAAGAAAATCAATAGTTCATACAAATACCACAGTGATCTAGATCCTTAAGATGATGATCTTATGTGCAGTACATCAATAATAAAATACATTGCTGGAGACTCAATAAGTGCTGACAAGTGATAATCCCAACTGCTTGGCCTTAATCTCTCGTTTTGATTCATCTGGTGTATACGGTGCATCAAATGAGTTTTACGAATCTGTAATCTTTTATTTCAGTTCTTTATTTGCTTGGATGAGCCTGGGTTTTAATTATTAACAACATCAACCTCGATAAAGTAGATGATCTTATGTTAATTTTACTGGAGTTTGGTAAGGTTACTGCTCTCGGGATAGACAAAGTGTCTGTAGCGGTAAATAAATCCCCAAAATAAATAGCACTAAGTTTTCGACATTGGATGCTGACCATATGTTTTAGTGGACTCACCTAGCTGAAGGCGCTCGGTCAGGCATCCGCACCAGATCACGTGTGGTAACGCCGTGCTCAACATCAACCGCAATCGCTAGCCAGATTAGATCAGAGAATTCCGATATATTGGTCATCGCCAAATATACTCTTCCGATCTCCTCGACTCTGCCTTTTGATTTCTCTTGGTGGGAACGAAATATATTAGAAGGTGTTACTGGTAGAAGCGTTGTCAAACACTGAATACCTGTGACATCATCATGTCCATCAAATCTTAGCAGGACTTCCAGCTGAACTCCAAAAACAAAAGATTTCTGAGAATTTTGTACACACTTGAGCAAGTGACAAAACTGAGACGACCATATAAGGGCAAAGCATTTTGAGATAAGACACTCAGGATCTTTTCAAGTAATCTTGCAGGGCTTACCGCTACACATGAAGGGAATGTAATCTGGTTGAGTTATAGATTCTTTGTTATTAAAAGCCCCACGACAAGCGAAAAACCTTAAAGAGGTCGTTAAGCTTCAAATACGGTGATCCGCATGTATAAGTATGGGGGAATCACATGACTGTCATCCAGCATTTATGAGTGAGCCTTATGTATCAGTGGCCCAACGATTTTCTAATCAACATTAGCTTTCAGTGAACCTGTTTTGAAGTTAAATCAAACTCCACGCAAAAAGAATGAAGTGCAGCCAACGTCGTCAGATCCTATTCTATACTTAAACGAGCCTAATACATTCTACTCGAAAAGTTCATCCAAAGTGTTTTTTGACCGTTATAATAAGGCTTGATGAAAGAAAAGCGTGTTTTACAGAGTTTTAATTCCAAGTTCCACTACGAAAAAGTTATAGCATAAAGTATTAATTTTTTGCATTTCATTTCATGCACATTAGTTACATCTAACGTGTCAAGGTCCTCATTTTCGTATGTTGTAAATTTCTTTGACTTACTAAATGAGTTGTTTTTATTAAATCATCACTCCTGACATTTTTGACAGTTAAAAAAGCGACATATTGTGATTTAGTTTTTGCTCTACTGGTTAATACTTCAAACCATTTATCTTGTAAAAAATAACATATAAAATAGCTATATTACACAACTATAAATACTTGTGTTATTCATACGTTGAACGGCCAATCACCGGTTAATGCTATTCATCTCGTTGCTTTTTTAGGACACTTTGATGCACGATTCTTTTTCTAATTATAATAATTGCAGTTATTTCGATCCTCGGATAACCCGTAGTTCAATCTTTCCTTTACGCGTGTTGAGAATACATCTCCAGAATCATGGTCTACTTCTATATCAGTACTGCTCTAATAATAGACCCAATCCTAAAATTGTAAATTTCCTATGATTTAACTGCTTGGAAGTCACACCAATGTCTACCCTGGTTCATTGCGTTGTAACAATCATCAGTACATCATGAAGAACACAGTTAGGCTCGAGATAGAACAATACATTTATTATGAATTAAAATAATGTTACATGAGTAAGACCACGCCATCAAGGCTGAACCATGCCATCCGATCAATTCGAACTATTTCAATTCATTCTTCTCACCTTCTCCGTCGTTGGGTTTTTCTCCGCGTTAAATGTTCAGTGCCTATTGTCCCAGTTGTTTCGTGTTTAGCTTTGAGGATTGTATGACTAGTGACCCATGCCACTACATACCTACCAGTCAAAAAATAATTCAAAGCAGTCATAACAATCATATTAACCTATGTTTGGTTGGGCACAAGAATGGCTAAGGGCATATACAAATCACCGAATGTACTCAGGTTCGTGAATCTATCACTTATCCTGACTAAACGCGTTATCTACAGTTTCGTCCCATGTCTGCGCAACTCCAAGTCGACGAACACCGTATATGAGTGAGATTTTTGTGTGCAAACGTATTGCCTCCACATAAACTGAAACCACCATTCTCCTAAGTCCTCGTTCACATACAAACCAGCACGCTTCAAAAAAGGGAAGTGATTTCGTTATTCGTGGGGAATTAACCTTCATTTTGTGTGCTTACTATATGAAAAATAAACTTGGTCTACTTTAACTTCAATTGTCTCATTTAACTTTTGAAAGTTTCCTTAAATCCATTTTGTGACACTTCTTTCCAGTTGATTCTCGTGAAAGATGCCACAGGTATTCGGAGTTTGACAACGCCTTAACCAG